GGGGGGGGGGGGGGGAGTCGCCGGATCTGTAACCAGGAGTAATTGAACAGGTACGGACAGTACCTTTATGGGACTCTGGGGGATAGGTGTGCACGGAGACTTTCCTAGTGCACATTTCTTACGTAAGGATCGAGGTGCAACCGAGAGAGAAGTTGGCATGCATATGAGTAGCAGGGGACTCTGGGTAACGGAGGAATGCATCCTGGGCGCATGCGCGGTCCTCGAAAGACCAACGAAAAGACACGGGGGAACTGAAATCGTAGGGAGGTGGTCTGTTATTGCCGTTGACGGGTGCCTGTGGGAAAAAGGAAAGAAAGATGGAGGACAGTAAATTCCTCGTATTGAATTAAAAAAGCAAAGAGGTCGCTAGGCCACGCGATGCTACCGGTGGTGTCTCTATCTACGCGGGATGGATGTGCCCTTCGGATCGCACAATGATGGAGTGTCTATTAGACGGCCGATTGTTCTTATATAATGAATGGATTATGTAACTGGCTGCTTTGCCGAGCTGCTTTCGTAGAGAGACACCTACGTGCGTAACGTATATATTACGAAGGAGCCAGTGGTGTGCTAGCCGCTTCGACTCTCTATAGTGATAGAGCCTGACTCTCTATAGTCCGTACTCTCTTGCACGTATACGTATCTCTGTGTTACGTGCGAGCGAGAGCGTGAGCGCGTACCAGTTAGCCGGGTTGCTCGGTAAGTGCAGCTGAAAAGACTTTTTACTTCTGGCCTTGAACGAAATGTACCCGGTGACTCGTTTACGGCGAGTGTTCTCGTAGCGGTCGATCGTGCCGTAGGAGAATTGGCGAACGGAGGGAAGAGAAGAGGGATCGAAAGTTGGTTTGGATTGCGAAAGAATTCGATTTTTCGTATTGCCCATTTTTTTTAGGTGGGTTATGATTTTCGAAAAAATTATACGCAGGGGTTTGGGTTTTTGGTTTGATAGGATGGATCGTTCGTAGGATGAATTCCCTCTTTTTTGTATCCGTATGGAAAAGTGATTGCTGGTAGTGGAACGATGGGGATCGAAGAGCGGAGGTTGTATTTTGGAAATTTTCTTTTACGATTTATCAGAGTGCTTTGAGACCGTTGCCCGAGGGCCAGATTTTTCCTATCGGAGTAAACAGTTTAACGAGGGAAGTGTCAACGTGCTCGGATTTACGTGGAATCAACCTGGGCACCAGGGACTCTGATGGCGATTGGTGGTTTTAGGCTACGTCGATGACGCCGATGACGATCCCAAGTGTCTTGAACTGGCGGATAGGAGTATCAGAGGACGTTCCGGGTGAACGGTCCTCTCTCAACGGCGCGGAGGGACTCCTGATGCAGCCACGAAACGCGATCTATTCAAGCTGGCGAAACATAATTGGGCCCACAAAAAATAGAGCGGAAACGGTGGGCCCCATTACGTCGGAGCGAGCTCTCCATTGCTCAATCCCTCCACGAAGCTGTGCCTCGCCTTAATCAGAGTACAGGCTCCGGCACTGTAGGTATCTACCTATCTACCTATCTACCGACAACGAACGGCTTCGTAGAAAAAAGAGGAAAAAATGCTGGAACGGAGTAAATAACTCAGCGAGATAGTGGAGAGAGGAGCGAAGGAGACTTCGAGCAGCCGTAAGTCCAATGTAAATAAGAAAAATTGTCATTTTTCAAATTGGCCCCTTGATAACATTTCGTAAAGCGAAGTGAGTGCGAAAGAAACTTTCTCGATAAGGAGATTCGAACGAAACGAAGTTTCGGAAATGACGCACGCTCCGGGAAGTCTTTATGTACGCCTTTCTCCTCCTTCCCGAGAGATACAAAGAGATCGGGAGAGCGAGTAGGGAAGGGACCGAGAAAAAAGCGTGGTAGTGGGACTTAAGGCCCTGACGAGAACGGGGTTCGCTCAAGACACGCATTTTAATTCCCAGCCTCGACATTTGCGTAACCCAGTTTCGCCATTGTTCCACGCCACGACGGATGGTAAGGTCCCTCGTCGTATCGCGTAAGGCCCAAAGTAGAAAGGGGCCCTACCAGTCAAACGGGAACCGTGTACTTCGATGTCGCGTCGCCGTTCTATGTTCTTTCACGAGATTCCGGAATATCGGTTACCAGTCGAGTATCTCACGTATAGTGTAATACGGACCCGAAGGAAAAGGGGCCTTACATTGGAAATTGAGTAATCGTCGTTACGCGGCCCGATAAGGCCCCCGAGACGGAGTGTCGGCGCTTTGCGAAAGAGCCACGATCCTACAGGTGGACGGCAGAACCTGTTACCGACCGCGTTCGACGGGGCACGCGGTTACGGGGCCCCCTCCAGCGAAATCCAGAGTGCAGCACCTGCAGAGTAACAGGCGAGTGGAGCTGCCGCCGCGCGCGCTGCAGCTACGGCGCGCAGGGAAACTAGTGGGGAGCCGGTAAGGCCCCGTCCGTGATACGAATGGGCCTTACCAGCGGCATCCCCACTACACCCCCCCAAGGCCCAAATAGAAGAAAGAAAACGCAGACGTAATTCTATAGCAGTAATTGACCCTGAACTTCAGCCAGCAACAATTTCCTTATTCAGCAATTTTCTCAGTAATAACATTACGTATGCCACACGGTATATATATACATACGTATATTTGTCTACACGTGTCTATATATACACTGATATATATAATCATTCGTCCGCTACATAACTATTACCCAAGGACGTCTCTCTTTTCTTTTTTTTTCTTTTTTCTTTTTTTTTTTTAAATAAATACCTCGTGATTATTCTAACCGCCATCACCAACCACTCTCCCTCTATGGGGCCTTTCAAGATCGCAAGTCCCCGTCTCTGAATTCCGTAATATTATCTGAGCTCCTCTCTCCTTCCTCCCACTGTTTCCTTATTCGTTGAAATGTACACGTTGAAACCTTGAAACTCCTACACGATGCTTTTCTCAAAGAACGGACTCTCTAACGTCAAACGTGGCTAGTTTTCATTACGGCTGGTTTCTAAGCCGCGACAGAGAGACCAGTACTAGTTCTGAAACGATGAGCTTTAAGTGGGACTTGACTAGCGAGTCAAGTATGCAATAATAAAGCCCGCATCGCCACTCTTACCGAAGGTCGCTCCTTTCCAATTCCAGTCGGTCGAAGGTCACTCGGGTTACTTTGGATTCGAAATCGTTATTGTTATCGCTGATGTACTCTTCTCTTAGTTTCTCGATAGTAGCTGTTTGTCGCTTTTTTTTATTATTTTTTTACACTGCCAACACACGCAGATTGTTACTAGCGTATCGGTTTATAAATGGCAAAAAGACGTATGACGCAGCAATCAAGATCATTCTCTTTCTCGTCGCAATACTCTGAATCATTCGATCGTGATGGAGCGGAAGATCCGTATACGGATGATGATGATTTTTATAATTAGATTCTAGATTCTCATTAGACTAAGCAGACCGAAGATTAATCGATACCTTTCGACTGGGGTCCAGTAGTAGATGGTATTTCCGAAAGACGATCGTGATCTTGATGATTCATGATCTCGGGGAAAAATTTGAGAATTGCGATAATGAATTTTTTCATTCAAATTCATTACGCGATCAAAGCAATCGGATACGATTGCATGGCACGTATCTGTATTCAGCGTAATCAGGTAGCACGTGCTTAATTGAATTCATTGACTATTTTGAGAGTCATCGAAGGTTTTTTAAAAATATATATATATACGTGTTCTCGTTAAATAGTAAAATTTGAATATATTTTTGTATAAATATTTGAAAATTTCATTTGTTACAGACGATGTATACGGACGGTCTACTGACCCTCCATTATGGGAAACATCCCGCAACCTTGGCCGCTGAGGTCGGGGCCTGGTACAGCGGGGACCGTCACGTGGACGTGACCTTGGCTTGCGACGACGGTTCCGTCGTTAGGGCCCACCGAGTAGTATTGGCGGCGGCTAGTCCCCTCCTGGCTAGTCTACTTCGCAATCCAGCCTTGGACCACGTGGTTCATTTGTCTGGGGTCAGGAAGACGCAGCTGAATCATCTGCTCGAATTTCTCTACAACGGGGAAGCCCTGATACCGGTGGGTCTAATTTTTTAAAATAAAAATCGTAGACCCAGGACGAAGGGAGGACCAGGTGTTGTTCGGATTCTAATTAAAAATGAAACTTTTCTCTTATTGTCAACAGTCCACGGAGCTTACCCCACTGAGAGAACTGTTCGAGCTTCTACAAATCAAGTCCGAGCTCTTCGAGCCTAATCAACCCCAAACCTCGAGCAATTCCGAGCCCGAGAGAATACCAACGCCGCAACCCTCCGAGAGCCAAGAAAGCTCCAGCTACGAGTCTCAGTACGACGGCAGGTAAGAAAAAGCTCACCCCCAGCTCTTCATCCCTTGAACTTGTCTGCTGTACACGAATTGACTGAGAGCACCCTTTCAAAATGGATTCAGACAATCGAACAACCCTGCGGATTGTTGTTCGGTCCTCATTAAGACGGAGGGATGCGAGGAGGAGCCCGAGGTCGACGTCGAGGGTGTCGAGGGTGAAGCGATGCTTTTGGAAAATCGCGAAAGCAGTATAGAACCACCCAGGAGGAGGGATAGTTCGGATCCCGTGAACCTAAGCCTGAACTCTGGGACATCGACAACCAGCGAAAGCTCCCACGACATAATTCACAAGTATGTATATTGATTCTTGAGATTGTATAGCCCAGGACCATGCTGATCCTGAATTTTGATGCATGCCCGTAAAAGTCGATACCTGGTACAAGTACCTTTGGATGACGTTCGCAGGACAGAGAAGCCAATGTTGGAGAGAAGAGAGTCCCTGGAAGAGGCTGAAGAGCGCAGGCGTCAATTAGCCGCGAGATTAGCCTTGGGTCTGGAACAGGGTAAAAGGAAACCGGAAGAGATACCAATCCCACCGGCGGAAGCTTACGTGGTGACACCCCATCGAAAGCGAAGACCCGGTTTTCACAACGCCCCAGCCCAGAATCCGGCGTTCGTCCCCTTCAATCCCGGATTCGAGACACCCCGAAGGCTACAGGCACCCCATCCCTTAAGCGTATCGGCCCCACCATACCTGGTAAGTACATTGAGGCTCCTTCGCAGGGATGGCCATTTGATTTAAATAAAAAAATTCATTCATGCCCTGTTTTTTCTATCTTTCTTTCTCTTTTCAAATGAACAGCAGGACAGGTCGTTGACCCCGCCGACGGCATCTCATCGACCCCCCAGTGCGGATCCCACCGCAGCAGCTGGTCTGGAACCACCATGGGGTGCCTGGAGTTTACCCCCGGCCCGTGCGCCGCCGCAACCCCCCACGGAAGATCCCCCAAAATCGACCCCCGTTCGCGAATACCGCTGCAGCTACTGCGGCAAGCAGTTCGGTATGTCCTGGAACCTGAAGACTCATCTGAGAGTTCACACGGGCGAGAAACCCTTCGCCTGTCGCCTTTGCGTCGCCATGTTCAAGCAGAAGGCGCATCTTCTTAAGCATCTCTGCTCGGTTCATAGAGGCGTTATCGCCGCGCCTGATAACACGTTCACCTGCTGCTTCTGTTCGCTGAGCTTCGACAGCTTGCAGGAGCTAATCAGGCACTTGTCAGGGCCGCATAACAATCTTCTACTCAGTAAGAACCTTCACGACTAGCGACAAGATTCAAGGTAGCCCGGTGCTACGGGCCATTTTCATCTGGAAGTCTTCATGGAATGTTCGTCAGCTATCTTTCCGGAACATCCTGAAGGTCCGAATCCTCAAGATCCAACATCCGGGACATCCGTCACGGACGTCCAGAAGGGAAATGCCCATATCCCGAAAATACGTAGCACCGGTCTCTACCTTCTCAATCTATATACGTCTATATAGAGTCGCGCCAGGGTATTTCGAAAATACCGTAAAAATCTGGTACCTGTGAAAGAGCGTGAGAGAAAGGGAAAGGAGGTCAAAGGCCAAATGTAAAAAAATGTGTACGAAAAATCGATGGCCGCTTCCTGAATAGATTTCTATTGGCGGATCTAGATATACGCTTGGAAATGATAACGAAGCGCGGCGTATCGGAGCCATCGACATCGCAAGGCAGCACATGCTGAGACCTCGTACGAGCACCTTCCCCTTGTACATGAATATACATCATCCAAGCGTCTAGACGTTACAGACGCTATTACACACAGAGATATATTTACATACACGACTCTCTTCTTCTCTTGTACATAATGTTACATATGAAAAACGCGAAAGAAGCATTAATTTATTTTATACACGCAAAGGGACCAACCGATTTTCCACCGATTTTCTGTCTTAGGTAGATCTTAGTGTCCTGCCCGAAATCGCCTTGAACAAATTGACGCAGCATGTTTAGAGAAAATCGCACTGAGCGGAACGGATCGATCGGCTAGAAGGAATTTATTTTCATCTGCTCGCGCAGACAAGCTATGATATTTTATCTTATTCTCTTCCTTCGACGACGATCCTGGCGTCTCAGTCGTTTTCCTGGACCTCAAACGATTCGACGTGCCTTATGGGTCCAAATTGGTCGATTGGGCAGTGATTTTCATGTGTTCATAGGCTAAGCGTATACGAGAGTAAGCATTAGGACGTTAATCCGTAGCAGGTTTATAAAAGTAATTATGCAATTCCCGAGGATGTCCCTTTCATTCCCTATTGTCTCCATACGAAACAAAAAAAAGCTTTCAAACCCTTCTGCATCCCCCTGGAGCAACGACGACACGGAAAACAAATTGAACGGACGGACATGCCGTAGGAAAGCAAGAGAAATCCTACGGAGAGAAACGAAAGAACAAACCACCAGCCCAAGTAGCCCCGTTTTAGACGTATAAGTAGTTTTTGACGCAGGACGTCATTATTTAGGATTTTCTTTTCGTTTTTAGCCCTTAGGTGCCTCGAAGGGCGCGGACTTCGCTCGTGATTCGCTCTCGAATTATTCGACCGGCCATTTTGTCAAAGTTTACGCGAGTAGCGATTCTCTTTCGCGTGGCTCTACCTTTTTAACCCTCTCCACCTTCCAATGGTTTTTTCTTCTTTTTTTTTTTTTTTTTAATTTACCCCTTTCACATCTCTTCGTGTTCATCCGCCACTCGTCCCCTTCTCTTCGCGAAGTTTTCATCCCGCGAGGAAGATGCAACTCGACGTAATTTCGGAAGGGAGGAAAAGACCCGCACGCATGCACTTATGCACTCGCGCGAAGAAAAGACAAAGTGTACACGTAAGCGCCACGCAAAAGTACCCGAAATCAAGTTTATTTTATTTTTTGATAATCGTAAAAGCCGTCGGCACGCTAGGAAAAAAATTTAGCACGGACACGAACCCACATGCACGGAGCACACTCGTGGGGCACAGAGCCAAAAAATTCTGGCATTACACGAAAAAGAGGAGGAAAGAAAAAAAGTAATCTCCCAGTTTCCTCAGATCGACTAATTGCAGCAGCGTCGCGACGCACGATCAGTGGCGCCGTTAATAGATAACATTATTATTCTTGAGAATACCGAGAGCAGTACACCAAAGATATGTTCGTAGGGCTGTTCGCGAGTGGGAAACATATAAGTTATATTATGTGCGAAACGCCGAGATCTGAATCTTGTACGAATCATAGACCTACGACAGATCGCATTGTACACGGATTAAAGAAGGGATATTAAAGTGAAAAAGAGAGGAAGCGAAGAAAACGAAAGAAGAAAAATGAAAAGAAAGAAATTACAAATAAAGCTTATTAATTATTCCCTGTAACGAGCGCACACGTACACACGTCACTAATCACCGCTACAACTGTCACTCTACACCTATTATCTAGCGCTATCACCTATCACTGCTATCTTTCATCCCTTCCTCCCCTCCCGCCCCCCCCTTTAACAATCTTACGTTTTTCTATCCACACCTTCTTCCCGATTGATTTCAAAAGAGAAAATAATGCCTGTAAGTTGCCTGGCTTCGAGTTTCTTCCACGTTCTTTGGGACCTTCGATTTTTTTTTCATTTTTTTTTCTGGATTCTCCCCTCGACTTTTGTCTTTTTTGCTCTGCGTCTTACGTCACTATAACTTCCGTTGCTCCTGTCGCCTCGCGAGACGCGACTGGAGATGAAAATTGATGAATTTTTCATCAGTGACAATTTAAACGAGGAATTTATCATTTGTTTCAAGTATCTTTTCTCGTTGAGGAGTGCGTGTGTACGTGTGAGAGCAAGAGAGACAGGTGAGCAAGGCTAGGAGAGTGGGGGTACTTTTTGAATATTTTGAGTGAGACAATTTAAAAAAAAAAGAACCAAGCAACAAGAAAGCACGTGCAGAATTCGAATGCCAGGCAAGAACGGCCAGCACAACAGTGAACACAATGTGATACTAAATGATAAATAAAGTAATTATTGTTTAGCGTGCGATGCCTTGACGCAGGTACAACATGTTGTAATTAGCAATTCGAATTAATTGTAAGTATAGCTTATAGCTCGTAAGCCTTTATTATAATAGTTATGCATATTAGATATTTACTATTGATAATACGTTATTGTATATAATTGCACGAAAGACCCAGGTATTCCCTTCGACGGTCTTCGTCTTCGGGGCTGTCAAATCTGACGTCATCGAAGCAAAGGATGACGGAAAGAAATCGATCGACAGTAAAATTTGTCCAAGATCAATTTTCACCTCCTGTTTTTTCGCCCTATTGAATTATTCCTCAAAAATCCGAAACGGAGAAAATAAATTTTTTTTTTTTTTTTTTCAAAAATAATTGACAGTCGCACGAAGTGACAGATCGGCGAAAGAGGAATACCTGTGATGAAATAAATTTCCGACGAGAGTAGTAAACCTTGAATTTTCATTGCCATTATTATTATTATTAGTTACAATTAATTTATTTAATTAATACCGTTCGTAATCAACGACATTCGATACATCCTTGTTACCACGTTGTCTGGTTTCTAACGGTGCGAAAGTTTTATTAGCGTCCAGTCGAGGCAGAAGGAAAAAACTAAAAAAATACATAAAACCCGTTATCAAGAGTCATTTACCTTACAGTGGTACTTACGGGTACCTGTGGGTCGGCCTTAAGGTATACCTATTGAGCAACGTTAGAATGTCAAGGGACTGAGAACGATCGTTAGGACATTAGAAGTTCATCGAAATAACTTCATATGTACAGTTTAACGTTTGCTTGGAGAATTTTTCATTTTTTCCCTTTTTTCAAAATACCCCATTCTACCGGGTAGCCACTCAGTGTATTTCTATGCAAGTGTCAAGCGTCAGGCTGGTTTCCGCGTAATCGAGCGGTCAATGTCGCTGCAGTGCGGACAAGTCGCGTACACGACTGCAGGCAGAGTCATAGAAACGTGAAACGTCCATAGATATACATGCACGTTGACTCGAGTAAATTCTGAAGATTCTCGTAATTTTACAGTAAAGGATCTTCGAGACGAAGTCCGAGGTGAACTTGAACCCGGTGTACCAGCGTGGACCAATGGTTAACCGGCAATGGAAATGCCGGGTTCACTCACTGACACGTAGCTTTTTATGCAGGTTGCACAAGAGTTCAATAGCCATCGGGAGGCCAGCGTCGTTCAGGCTTTTTACCAGCTTCGTGCTCCTCCAGTGCCTTTTAAGTGCTACGCGACTCTACGTACGTGCAGGAGTCGGGAAGAGCGTCGAGCACGGAGTCTAAGAAGGGAGCTGGTTCTTTATTTTCTTAATGCCAGTCTGTATGGGTGGGGTTCCTTTTAAGATTTTTTCTTCTTCTTTCTCTCCTCCCTCTCCTTTTCTCCTTAACTCGAGCGCGAATTCCCATGCAAATTTCACGAGGGACATTTTACTTTTTAATTAGCGTCAAAGTCACCGCGCGACGAATCCTCCGAACTTTTCGACGGTCCAGCTGTGTTTTTTCATGAAGATCTTGATGGGCCGTTTGGTCACGAGTTCTTTGATGATTCGTTAGCGAACGCGTGCCAAACTGCCGAGTGATCAATTTGCGAGGCTTTCGCGAGTGCCGAATAGTCGAGCGGCACTTTGAGCGATTCTATGCTCGAGGAACACAAAGCTCTGCTGGACTGTCGAAAGGTTTTTTTTTACAGGCGGTTGAGAAATTTCGAGAAACGGGGAAGATTCGGGGAATCGAAGAATTTTGGGTCTGTTTAGAGAATTTTTGGGACTTGTTTAAATATGCATGTAGCGGTACAACGAGGAAGGTAATTATCGGGATGTTGCGGATGAATGATGAAACGACCTGTAGACTTGGCGACCGGTGAGCATCGTGAGTCCCCGCAGAATTATACCGTAACGCGAAGAGTCCCACACGTGAGGTGGGGATCGGAGTTGGCCGGTCAACGCTCCTGCCCTCCGCGGCTAATGTATATAAGGCCCAAGGATCGGTAATCTCCCAGCCAGATCGTTAAGAATGCTGGGCAAGATCATTTTCGTAGTATCGGCTCTGGGACTCGTAGGGGCCCAGATCCCGAGCCTGGGATGGTGCCCGGATTACGTGCCGATGGCGAATTTCGACATGAACAGAGTAAGTTTACTCGGGATATAAAAAAAGTTTTATAGAAAAAAAATGGTCAAAAATTAAAATATTACTCCATTGACACTTTTGTGAAATCTTGCAGTTTTTGGGTGTCTGGTACGAGGCTGAAAGATATTTTCAATTGTCCGAAGTTGTCGCTCGCTGTGTTACCACCAATTATACCAAGGGGCCCGATGGGAAGCTTAGAGTCAGCAACGAAGTGACAAACAGATTGTAAGTAACTGAACCGATAGTTCTTTTCGATTTCTGATCGGTTCCGATCGGTTGGTTAATAAATGAAAATTTGCTATAGCACCGGAATCAAGCGAATCCTCGAGGGCGAAATAAAACCAGCTGCCTCGAAGGCTGAGGAAGGCAAACTTCACGTGAAGTACACCACGGTCCCACTGACACCGGAAACCCAGTACTCGGTACTTGAGACGGACTACGATTCCTACGCCGTACTTTGGGGCTGTTCCGGAATTGGGCCTGTTCATACTCAAAACGCATGGCTCATGACCAGGGAACGTTCGGCACCTGGTACCGTTCTCCAGAAGGTAGGTCCACCATTAAAGTTCATAGAAGACTTCGCAGCTTGGTCCAGGTCACTGAGAATAATATATGACAAAATTTTCTTGCTGTTTCAGGCTTACGGGGTCCTTGACAAATACAAGATTTCGAAAACCTTCTTCGTGAAGACCGATCAGGCTGACTGTGCTTATTTGAACTCAAAACCGTCGGAGGCAGCTGAACCAGCCGAGAAGCCAGAATCGGAAGAACCCGAGAAAGAGGAAGCTGCCAAACAGGTCAACCTAAGGTCAGCAATTACTCCTGATGCTCCGGAAATTATTCTCCAAACGCGAAAGGCCGAAGAGATGGAAAAGGCTGAGGCAGTCAAATCGGAACCGGAAGTAGAGGCGGCAGTCGAGGAAGAAACAGCCCCAGTGAAGGAGGAGGAGATCAAGGCAGAACCCGTACCGGAAGTCATCCTCAAGGTCGCTGATCAGGTAGCCGAAGAAAACGTTGAGAAAATTGCAGACTCAGCCAAAGTGGAACCGGAACCCGAGGCAGCCATGGAAGCTGAGAAAAGCGAATCTTGAAACGTATATTTAAATATGGATGCTCGGTAGGATAAACGTTAGACACAAGACGCATTCACATGTCGAACGATGAACATTTCCAAGTCTGAGGCTCGTAGCGGTACTTGCCCCGAAAAACGGGGCAAGGCCAGTCTCGCCCAATCGAGTGCCAAATTTGTTTATTTTCAAGTTGTCCACTCTGGATTCTCGTACCAACTTGGCAAGAAGCTCGAACGAGCCAATGAAAAATGTACAAACGAAAAAAAAAAAATTGAATAAATTGTTACATAAAATGAACCCATTAAAATACCGTTGTGCTCTTTATACGTGTCACCTATCGAATCCTTAGTAATCCACAAGAAAACAAACTAGACAGAATTTCAAGGAATTACATACCACCTACCAACAGAGGCAATTGGACCCGGTCCCATTATATTCTACAAACGTGACCAGTCCAGAATCCTTAAGTTGTGGAACGTCCAATTGTTGGGTGTAACAATGGCTTCTGCGATAGCCAAATAAAAAACTAAAGCAGACTACGGAATAATTCATGACAAAACACAAAGGCCACTGTCCTCCATAATCGCGGATGCGTTCGACATGACCAGGTGAAAAAGAAAGATGTAAGTAAATTCTCAAAAAAAAAAAAAAAAAATTTAAGAACGAAGGAAAAAGATAAGAAGCGATTGTGATCCGAAATGAGGAAAAAAGTAGGAACTACAGTGACGTATGTTTCGACACATAGATTTTAGATTTTTTCGAAAGTCGCAAAGTCCCATTCAGATTGGCAATGCAATTCCAAGGAAGAGTCCTGATTGGCCAACTGCAAATTCAAGGCATGCCCCGGGTTCCTTGAACCGTACTCGTCCCGTTACTGACCCACTAACTGACAGAACTCTTTCGAAGGAATAATTGAGCCTCGTGGTCTCGCCAAAGACATCAAAGACATCGTGGGGAACAGTCATCCAGTAGCTGCTGACCAGTGGAGACTGAGAATAGAAAAGGAAGCCAGGCCTGTCAACAACTGTCATTCCGTCAGTGTCATTCGGCTGATCAGCTACTACGCTCGAGTTCAAGAGGTACGTACGAAACTAGTCACTTAGCTGCCTTAGCAGGTCCAAAGTTATTTATTCGCTGGATGGGAGAAATAATTTTGACTATGACGCTGGAGAATTTTACGAAAATTATTTTCACTCGGCTCGACTGACTCAGAAATCCTGTTGCCAAAAGGTCATCAACTTATCGGTCGTAATGATTTAATATCTTGATCGTTAAATAAATCCCCCGAGTGCACTTAAGATACAAAAATCAAAATACTCATTTTTGACATATTGAAGATCGTAATTTCTTTTTTTTTTTCAATGATTTATCGCGTTTTTTACTTAGCAAATAATTACTTTGAAATCCTGTTTACCTCTCGTTGTCCTTCAAACTATCACTTCCTTGTTTCTTATGCAAACTATAATTTAGCGAGATGATTTTCAAAAAGTCTCAGTCACGAAGTACCAGTCGCCGAGAAAGATTCTAGAAGGTCTCGGTGCTTGTCGGAATTTTCTATATATTCAGCTGATTTTTATCAGTACCGATAAGAATCATTGGATTTCAGAAATCAAGATGCTGTGGATATCGTTGGTACTGTTCGTGGCCGGAAGTGCATTGGCACAGGTGCCGTTTTTGGGCGTGTGTCCCAATATGGAAATCATGATGAACTTCGAAGTTGAAAAAGTAAGTACGAGTCATTTAACGGGAATTGCACAGTGAAAATGCATATTCGAAATATTTCTGCAAAACGGTATGCACTATCGGGTGCAAGGTGCATTTAGAAAGTTGTCCTGAATTTGTCAGCGATATGAAATTACTTGAACGGTGAACGGACAGAGGCGAGTACCGTTAGAGAAAAGTGAAGACAAGAGAGGAGAGGAGAACGTAGAAGAAGAGGAATGGACAACAGTTACTCAAGACTGAACTCTAAACTTTTTCTTTCAGTATGTGGGCAAATGGTACGAGGCCGAAAGGTACTTTGCACTTTTTGAATTTGGCGGCAAGTGTGTCACTGCCAATTATAATCTGAGTGAGAATGGATCTGTGCAAATCATGAACAAGCAGATTTCAGCGCTGTGAGTAACGGAAAGAAAATTTACTTTATTTTGATAAATAATAATTTATATTATAAAAAAAAATTTTTTCAAAATTTATAGAACTGGCGTCGCATCCAGTATCGAAGGTATTGCCAGACTGATTGGCAGATCTGATGATCCAAAATTGACAGTGACCTTCCCGTCGCTTCCACTTCCGGTCGACGCTCCATATTGGATCCTTGATACCGATTACAAAAGCTATGCCGTTGTTTGGAGCTGCACGAACTTTGGTGTATTCAGTATAAGAAACGCCTGGATTTTGACGAGAGAGCCAAGGCCTCCCGTTGCCGTTCTTGAAAAAGCTTATCAAGTCATTGATCGGAATAATATCAGCAGAGCTTACTTCATTCGCACCGATCAAAAGAATTGTCCGGCTACGTATTAATCGGATAATAATTCCGTGTGACCTGTTTGTTACTAAGATTAGCCTTACTGGTAAAATCATTACGTGCATGATAATGATCTCAGGTAACCAAAATATTCCATCGTATTTGGTAGCTGTTCATTTTTTTCTTTTTTATTGATGAAATTTAATTGTAAGTATACAGCGGACTGGTAGAATTTGTAACTAAGACTCGAGATATGCCATTAATCGTCACGCTCGTGACAATTTACACGGTAGAAATTAGATATTAAGTATTTATCGACTCCCTTCAACGTGCCTTGTATTTATTTATTCAATAAATATTTTGTATAGATAAAATCCTGATGTCTGCGACTTTTTCGTTCGTCTGGTATTTATTTATCCAATAAATATTTTGTGTAGATCAAATTCTGATATCTACAACTTTTTCATTCAATCCAAACGGAAAAAACAGTTTATCTCGATCGTTACCAATTCACCATAGAAATCTACCATTATCATAGGAAGGTACTGACTGCTCTTGCTATCACAGTAGTTCGCTCGTTCTCCGCCAGATGGCGACACTCGCGCCATCTAAACTGATTGTTATACCGACAATGAGACTCAACCCGCATCGATCGCTCGTTCGTATCGTCATTCTTTCCACGATATGCGGACATTATATAAAACATTAAATAAAATAATAGTTTCAATCCTGAAGCAAGAAGTCAACTTCTTATAGGATAAAACCAAGAATCACCCTCATTCTATGAAGTTGACCACCATAAACCTAACCCCGTGCAATATAACTGAAGAACGAGGGACTCACGTTCCCATGGGTAATAAAACGAGTAGAAAATGATGTAGAGTAAAAGAGAGAGAAGCAAGACGAGCGTGCGAAAGCCAAGTAGCGAATCCCGGCAATGAAAACAGAGCAACGCGAAGAGGAACGACTGGGGTGGCAGTCGCCGGATTAATTGGAAAGTCCAAATTAAACACACTCGTGTCCCCATGGAGACGGCTCAGCCGGAGACGGATGGAAACGCGTATCAGACTCCCACGTTAAAAATGCATCCGACGCACGCGACCGCAAGAGAATAAATAGGGGCGGCGAATCGTATGAAAGCAATATCGAGGACGTCCGCCATGAAAAAAAGAAAAAAAAATAGAAGTCGAGCGACAATACCAGTAAATTAAACAAACAAAAGTAGCCAAAGGATCGCTCACGTGTGAACTCCCGTGTCGCTCGGCCTCACTGCAAACAGACAGCCCATTGAGCACGACGCAAACTACGGGGCATCCTATAGGTCCATCATCAGGGTGGCATTGTGCCTGGACCAAGAGGAACTGGCAGCGGGAATAGGACCCCTTTGGGGAATGGGTCCGTACCCGGTAGAACACTCATAAATATTCGATAGCGACAGCCACGTCATATAAGCAAACAACGCAATGCTGAAAACCGCCTTCTCGTTTTACGGTAGTTACGTTGCGGCCCAGAACGGGCCCTTTCACCAGACAAATACTCAGAGTCCCATAATAAAGAGTATACCGTACAACCATAAAGTGCCGTGCACACCGGCACGATTATTTCGAAAGAAAATTAAAGAAACGTCACACGTGTCCGGCGCTTAACAAAATAAATAATCTTTTCGCAGGCATTACGCGAAACGACCATCCGCATCGACCAAAGACTCGCAGCTCGTTTACTCGCAGCTAATAAATCGTCTAAGGATCTTAATCAAGATCTGCCGAGTTCAGCCAGGAATAAAGGGCCGCGGTGCGATGCGTTGTACCAAAATATCCTCTCGCAGCCCCTCCTGGCGTCCCGCACGTTTTACGGCTCACGGTTCACGGCCCGGACTCAAACAAGGCCCAGACTCCGTTCTGGCCAGGTTGCTGGAGACCGGGGCCCACCTTGGCTCTCTACCGGTATCTTTCCTTTCTTACGCGAAGAGTTCGGGCCCGAAGGGCGCGCGCAGCCTTCCTAATAACAGGGTAGCCCAGAGCTAAACAAACATACACGCCCATAAGATCTCTCGAGGAAAGAGAACAAATCGTGCATGGCCGTCCGATTCGCCCATACGCGTAGCCGGTACCTCGGTGTACGTGCATGGTTAGAGCTTAGAGGGAGCCCCGGAATAAATGGGAAGAAGATGAATTTTATAAAAAAAGGAAGAACAACCTGAAGTTAGGTGCGGACGCGTCTGACAAGATTGGGACTCTCGTCTAATTAAAGTTCTGGTCGCGTCGAGTGTCGCGTGTGAAGCGGCACTATTTAGGCTACTTTTATACGTTTTTTTACTGCCAGTGTCGTAAATGGTAATTTATCGTTGGGCCTTATTACGATTAGGTCCGGTCTTTCGACACCGCGTACACTCCTTCGGTGTGGGTAACCCTTTACGCGCACTTCTCATCGGTGGATTTGAAATATCATTTAGGCGCCGCGATTGCGAGACACTCGACCACTCGAGCTTTTTATCAGCCTTAACGGGCATGTTTTATTTCAATGATTCCAGGCCTCTTCCTATACCCGGTGCCCACAAAGAAACGGATATTCGGCTGGATACTCTTTACCAATGGTACCTCGGGTCGATTGGGCCAGGCTCAATTTTGGATGAAGGCAGTGCCCTGAAGTTGCTACCAGTGGCTACTGGGAACAATATGGCCGCCACTGGCACCGGCGACGGGAGCTCAATGGGTCTCGTTATGGTCCCCGATCGCCACGTCGAGACCCATTACGACCCAAAACGAGCGATTCATTTGGGTAGTTTCACATCTGTCAAAACACGGATGATTTCTACCTACGTGCAGACAGGTTAGGAGTTTGGTAATACAGCCAGGAGTGAGACGGTTGGAACTACCGAGGATGCTGGATGGTCCAGGACGGCAGGGAGGGCTCGCGAAATTTGAGTCAGGCGATAAAGGAGATTACGTGCCAGAGAAAACGTCGATGAGATTCCGGGTGGTCTTGGCTGCCCGATTTGTTACATGATCTGTAGGGTGGTACGTATAGGTGGGATGAGCTCGTGTAATTCCGTGCCAAAGTACGAGCTTGTCTTCTTCCTCTTCGTCTTCTTCCCCGCGTTCCAACTTTTATCCCTTTCTTTGACTTCGTCTTTATTACCGACCGAGTCAAGAGATCCAGGTGGACCAGCTACTCTCGCTTAGTTCGGGATACAGGGAGAGAGAGAGATAGGGATAGAAAGCGTATAGGCATTTTCCATTAGAAGATCCAAGAAGAGGCTTCTACGTGGCAGAGCTCCCAGTCGAGAGGAAGGACGTAAGGGAATAAAGTTTTCGAGTAAAAAGACGCGAAGGTAGATGATGAGACGAGGCATTCTGGTTTGTGGGCACAGCCGCTGGCTGCAGCCCACAATTATGATAATAGCCCCGTCTTGAGTCTTGTTAGCCCAACGTGCAGCCAGCTCTTTTATCTATCTTCTTTTTTCAAGACCTCCCCTCCCCCCCCGACGCCCCCTGCGATCCATCCAGCCAGCATCCAGCATTTCGCTTTCATCGGTACAGCCGCAGTCCTATGGGGTCAGCCGGGTTCAAACGGCCACAACAAGATCCCAAACCCATAACCTTTTGGATTTTCCGTTTCAGCGAATTTCTCGGATTCCGGCTAGAAGGGAGTGTATATGAAAATACGAGATTTCCTACCCGCGTATGTACCGTCAGGGGCGTAATACTCGGGGGGATACTCGGGAAGCTTTCGAGACTCCCCGTATAAGGAACCCTCTTTATTCCTGGGACTAATGAGAGCCAGTCCACTTCCTGTAAGACTTCAGTGCGCGTCGATAAGCTTTCTAAGGCTCACAGGGTTCGGAATGCGTGGTAAAACAGACCCCCCCTCGCCTACCCCCCCGGACACCCCTTGGGCCGTAAAAGACTTTGAGCAAATTTAATCCATTTTCGGGCCGCCCGTTTCTTTTGAAGGTTCCGGCTTTTCGCTCGCGGAAGCGAAAGCGTTAATTAGAAGCTGCCGCAATCAGGCAAAGACTCCCTCCCGTCGACCCCCCCAATTCCCTACTTGCCCACCCACTCCCGTCGGGATAGTCGAGCTGCGTGTTTTACGGGCAAATATTAACGTCCTCCTACGCCGCCGTTTGTCCACAGATCAACTGACGGCTACTGGCTGTACCGGCGGGCCTAACTGTAAGTACAGTCATACTCAAACACTACCGTTTACCTTAGCCTCCCATACCGGAGCACCAGGGTGCATCTTCGCGGATGCACCGATGTCTCTGAATAAACGTGCATCCAGCATCGAGTGTGTCTGTGATCTGGAGTCACGGCTCTGTGCACGAGATATACGACTGTTTGTTCAGATTAGGCCCGACAAAGAGGCCCGTTCTTACTTCTTGACTCGCTCTTGATTTAAGCGAGCCGACTCCTATTTGCTCTAGATTAACTCTAGTCTCCCTGGTCTGTCGTGTCCTGTGTCCTGCGCACGTTCTATCTCCGTTCTATTCCCTTCGCGATAGCTGAGCTTGCTTTGGTTGGTCCGCCATCTTGGTTCTGAAGGAAATTCTTAGCGAACCCTGTAATGCCAATACGTGATGCAGTAGAATATTTTTCAGTTCCCTCTGGCAGTCAAAGTCCATTTCAACGTCGAAGTACACATTTGAGGTTATGGGTCAAGATTCTGATCGTGGCTTCTCGAGATACCAGAGTAATCTTGTACTCTTTTTGGCCTTGGAGTGATTTTCAATTAGCTGCAAATTTCCAAGACGAGTTTCGTACCGAAGATATGGGCTTATTTTGCTGACGGGTAATAAGGGTGTTCGGTAATCGAGTGCCTTACGTGAAAAACAAGCAACGTGGGCGTTCCGCTTAAAATGGATATTGCTATAAATTTATATACTTAAGAATATACATATACTGAGAATTATTAAGGATGGACCTTGAGTAACATATGTTACTCGTATGGAGTATAGCGAAATTTTATATAGGACGTAATACCAGTATGGTAACTCATATGGGAAAGCGACACATGCTAGGCGAGTTTGTCAAGTCGAATTTTATAATGCCGAGCAATCCGATAGCTCAATTATTTTTTTCCTCTCATTTTACCTCTACTTTTATTTTTGTATCAGCCAGCCAAATCGGAATCTCATTCGGCTCTCGAGATTTTTTTCTACCAATCGGATACGCTCATTTGCCACGGGCAATGCTGCGACAAGTGTTGAGAGACTCTCTGTCCTCTTCTGCCCTACCGATTCTAGATGGATTCCTAAGTCAAGGGAGTAACTTTGGTAGGGCTTGGGTACCGGTGGCTTGGGATACAATGACCTAATGGAAAAGGATAGAAACTTGGAGGATACGAACCGAGTATACGCTCTGTTACTCTAGTATTGTTAGCAAGAAAATCTCATTTTATTGTCACAGTGGCGTAACGTGCTATCACACATTTTTAGTCCTAACCGTGAGTCAAGAGTGAAAGGCTACGCTCGTGCGGGAAGCATTGGAACTTTCGAATTCTGTAGCAAGTTTGGTAGGTCGAAAATGAGAAAGAAGGGTAAAATCGAGTCGATCTATATAATTTTAATGATATCATATATGATTTGAATGTTTAATTATTTATTTCAAAAGGAATACAGTCTTAGATAACTCACAATTCGTTTCTCGGCACAGCAAGCGTGGCTGACTTTGTCGATAGTTAGAGCGAAGGCACTATACCTGGCGGAACTTTTACGAAGTTCGTTCGAATGCACTTCTCGTGGGTGGACTTCGGGTAAAGTCGGAACTACTCGGCTGGCTTTCGAGCGGAGGCCTGCGTCGACCCTCGTCGACCCATGGCGGACGGACACAACTGGTTATAGCTTTCACGAGGCAAGAACGCTTCGACGCGGCACACGCTCCCGGTTTATTTAACGCGCAACAAAACGTATCGTGCTTTTTGTTAACAAAGACACGATTTGCCTTGCGGAAAAAGTGAATCGATGAACATTGTGATATCACTGAACCTGATCGAGGCTGGTGTTTGGCGGTTAAATCCTGAAAAATCTCTGTGAATCGTGGTTGGATCTGTCAAACAGCGTTTTTATTTTCTCAACTGTTTTTGTATCTCTCTTGACTCACTTAATGCACTGACTGAAATAGCGAATCGAGATTAGGTCACGAGAGAGAGAGAGAGAGAAAAATTGAAGTGTTTTCAATTGGCGTGTTTACATCACACGTGAATTTAATAAAACTTATTCATAGACGACACGAGAGGCTTTAATGAAAACGAAGTGTGTCCTACTGAGAAAATGAGCTGAGCTATCGAACGATTGGCGAATTGTTGATTTCTATGAGAGAGAAAAGCAGACGGTGAATAAACGCAGACACGTGGACAGGATGCTGTTCAAGTTATTCCTGTGGTTTCTGCTGGCAGTGAGGCCAGGTGCCGGATATTTCAACCTCTTCCTCAGCCAGGCTGAAGTTCGCAAGTTGATGGGTAAGAAATCAATTTTTCTTATATACATGATAAGAGAAGATATAACGGAGGTTATAATTCTTAGAGACTTATCGTGCTTTGAATAGGAATTTAATCGGGATCAAACGAAAGTGTCTGCTTTAATTTCCCCCATGTAGTTTCCACAGGAGCGACTAATTTTCATTGAACTCATCGACTCGTGAGAATTATTTCGCACGAGTGATTTTCCCTTGTTCGAGCTGAAGGAAAATTGACCTAAAAGAATTCCCTAGGCCAGCTTAAGTTGGATGAACGAATTTCAAAATACACAGGAGTTACGAATTGGCGCCAAAACTTATTTACAGCATCGAAGTCTAACTTGTACGAATTGAATATGGGAGTCCTTCCCCAGTCGATTTGCTTATACTATTTCAAGAAAAAGTAAATTTAGGGTGACTTCTCAAGGATTCCGAGCAGGTCAGGACCGTTGTGGCGTTGGTTAAAAATTTTACGATCCATTATTCCCGGCGTAGGTCGTATAACGTCCGTCGTGAAGCCACGTGCACGTAAAAGCAGCTCAGGCTGGTGCATATACATACATATACGTGCAGTACGAAAGATATGTGTATTGGTCCATAGAGGATGGGATTCATTTATGGATGTAGGTGCATTAGGAATCCAATAAAATATTATAACGAGGTCCTTGTTAAGGTACGGATCCCGAGGACGCGGCCGCAGTGGTTCTAGTTTGTTTAGACACCGAATAATCGACAGTCACTTTTTTAATATTCTATTTTTTCCTCTCCTCCACCGAGTCTCTTTCCTTTTTGGCTTCCCCTGCTGCCTGGGAGTGTAGTCCCTTTCTAGGGACCCTTCAGATCGGGGCCTGATACCAATTCGGGCTCGGAGAATTCTACGCTGGCCATATGGGGGCCTGCTTTACTCGTTAAATACTTCTCGAAGAATAATTAGTGCAAACTCTTAAGGAGCTGCATTGGCCATTATCTGTCAGTTTGTCAGAGATGGGCGACCATTTTGAATATCCAGAAGGTGCACACCTGACGGGACTTACTAATTGTCCCGATACGACACAAGAAATTCCGATCGTTGGGTATTCTGATGGCGAAGTAAGGATGGGGAGAATGTGGGACAGGTCCCTAAAATTTGGGACTTATCTGAAAGGACTATGGTTATACGAGCCTTACGGCACCTTGGGGTCGTATCGCAGCCTTCCGAGATAAGATATCTCGGGAATTCTCGTGTCTCGATCTTTTTTTTCCTTCTTATATCCGTCCTGCCCTGCGTTCGAGTGGTGTCTTCATTTTCTTCTTCTTGATATTCTATCTTTCGGCGAAGCTTTAATTCTTTCTCGACTAACGGAAGAAAAACACGAGGGATACTTCGAAGGCGTGTAACTTTCCATTGAACAGCTGGATAGTGTAATTGTTTGGGGACTCATCCAAGTCCTCGCCATGTTCTCTTGGGATTCGATGGTCAAGAGGTGGGTCAGTATCGAAATTAAAATCCTTTCCAATTTGGACCCGTCAAACCATACCGAGTCGTACAGGCATCAGCTGTCAGAAGCCCGTGTCAAAACACTAAAACAGGGGGAAACCGGTGTGTTCCATCGTAGTTGGTTCAGTCAAGGAGTTTCGCCGGTGTGAGTCGGGCTTGGGGCCCGACCCTACCTAGTTAGGACCTGACAGGCCCATCTCGCTGCTGCACGAAGAAGTGGGGAAGCTCAAAGGGCCCGACGGGACCCCGTGAAAACGTTTATGCATGGGGCCAATGGCGTAGGACACGTTGGGCCTGCTTAACGGTACCCAAAAATATACTTTATGCCCAAATAATAACAATATTGTCTCGGGCGAAGTTTTTACTGGAAAATAATAATTATTATTCGCAACAAACTTTACATTCTCTTCATCGATCAATGCCCAGTTCCTCTTCTTTCACATCCATCACACGTGAGAGCCATCATGGCTGACAATGAATCTTTGACAGCATCTTCCCACTCGCCTCTGTGATCCTCTGCGATGCGTAAAAGAGATGAGGCTGCATACGTTCCTAGTACGGTGTCCTATGTGTGTGCGAAGAAAGAGCTCAAGGAAAGTATAATTAATAAAAATGGAGAATGGCTCTCGAGAGTTGAGGTACATTTCCTAAGGTGGAAGAATGGATGCTGCGCCTTTGCTTCCATCAATCTCCGACTCCTCGTTAAGATGCGCGTGTTATGTTTGCGAGTGTGTGTTTCTGTGTCAGCCGTGATACGCGTAGATGACTCGTAGGTGTGGGTCCGACATTTACATGAGACGGCACTGGACCCCCGTGGATTTTCTCGTTGAAGCAACCCCGGAACTTTTCTCTCTTGGCGTGTTTGTATTTTTATTTGTATTTTTTGTCTACCTTATTCCTCTTTCAGAAGATGCTCGTACAATCATCTCGATGTCATCCCTGTACCAATAATATAAAAATATCTCTGAGAAAATTCCTAACTTTCAAAAGTACATTTTCATTTACGAAAATTGTCGTTACTGAATTTTTGGGGGAAGCCAGAAACGAAGTCCTTTCGACGACCCGATAGGGACGTTCTATCAATGGAATGACCCGTTATAATGGAATTGACTCAGAATTCCCCAGGAGGCTGGAAGAACCCTCAGACCTTGCTCTATTTTATTCCCAAGACTCCGCATGGATACCTGGGGGGATAAATGAAACCCCCGATGGGATTAACACTGGTAAAAATGGCCGCCGTACAAAAGCGATGCGGGTTACGTAAATTCGAATTTACGCTATTCAAATGTTATTTCATTGTATAAACGTAAGATTCATTGTTATCATCCCACATCCAAAATTTGGTCCAAAATCTCCGAACCCATCGGGAAAAGCAGGCTCGACGTATCCATCAATTTCTGGTAGTTTTATCTCCGGGATATCTTTTAATCTGTCGGTCCATTCCCCATAGTCTACAGCATCCCTATTGGATACAGAGGGAACGCGTACTTCTGAGTGACAGGATCTTAACGAGCATCTTCAGAGCCTCGTACAAGATGAGTCGCCGTCTTTTCACCTCCAGGAACTACCTAGTCTCTTTGCGTGCTCTGTGTATTTACTCTAATTGATATTCCATCTAGTAGCAGCAGTACGACGCCGACGCCTGGCGACGCTCACGACGCTTCCTTGTTCCTTCAAATCGTTCCTACACTCGGCAGGGACGGGAGAGACACGCAGCCCTTATGCGCGATGACTGGTCAGTTTCATATTCTCGAAGGGTCTTTCTGCTTTCCAGACAAACAATCCCTGACAAATAGTTCCACCTACCTGATTTGGTTGGACGGTCCCCCCCTGCCCCCCCCCTCGACCCCACTTCCTCCCTACGGAGGACCCATCCACTTGAGTTGAAACGTTTTCCAAAAAGTAATAGCCACTGTGGGGCTGATCGACAGGAAGGTTGACAATTTTGACCTTGTCCCGGGGGAAGGTTCCGGACGCCGTCTTATCGGCAGGATCCGACTTCAGGAGACGCGTCGTTTGAAAATTCAAACTCCGAAGAGAGGGTCTCTCTCGCATCTCGTCTGGGGATCTGAACAGCAGGGGGTTGCTTGCTCGCAACTCGCCTGGTCTGCCTTTTTACGTTCCACCCTCGTCCCTTCTCCCATCATTCCCTATCCTCTATCTCTTTCCCTGGCGCAGCCCCGGTAGACCCCGGCTCGCTAAAGTGATAAATGGTACGCGACAATCCCCTTAAACTCCCTGGGGTCTCCAAGGGTAAGATATATCTGTCCAAAGATCTGGAGGCCATTTCTGGGACAGACAAGGTGCTGGATGCCATAGAGACTGTCACGTCGGGGCCTAGGTCAGGTTTTTTTTCCTTTCTTCAATCTAATTCCTACGCCCTTTGACTCCGAGGCAGGACTTCCTTTTATTTGGATCTGTCCCACAGAGACTACGTACCCGGGTGTACCGACTTTCAGGGTTCCTGGATTCTTCGGGATGAAGAGACGGCAGTGGCTCTAGAGATTTTGACGTTTATCCCTGACTTTGAAAATCTTGGCTACTTTCACGCGTCACGTTGCCAATGGAGGGAGGGAAGCGAAAGGAAATTTTGAAAAAAAATATATTAGTCGGACTAATCCTCATATGTCGATTCGAGTAATGCAAACGAAGCTTGAGCCAATATTTGAAGCTGCCGAGTCCTCGTTGGGAATCAGCAGGCGCCATATGTCGTGACGTCTCAATCAAGCTTGCATCTGTCGCAAGGACAATACGACGAACCCCTAAAATCCAAATGCTATTTTGCCGGACCAATCAAAACCAGCGAATAACACCAGACGCACGACTATTATGTCCTACCGGAATAATATTATTCCAGCCAGCCGATCCCGGAATTTCGAAAAATGTCCTGTTTATTTGTAGTACTACCGTTTCATTCTGTGCCCCTACGGCAGCGTAAATACGGTATCTCGGATTCCTCGAGGATCATCCACTGCCACCTACACACGAATCTCAGAACGGACAGTGGAGTTCGGGATACGCGTGGAAGCGGAATAAACAAAGGGAAGAGGAAGAACAAAAAAACAAGAGAACAAGAGTCACCCAAGACACAGGAATAAAATTGTCTTGGATGGTAATTCTTAGACTCGTGTAAGAAAAAAGTGTCTTCCCTTAGACGCTCGAGGAGTCGTAGAACTTTCTGTAAGATGAGATTAGCGGGTCTCGTGGCGCGAGACTCCCGTCTCCCGTTTCCCTAATCCACGCGGACGGCTCTTCCCGTAAAACAACAGGGACCTAGGTGCCAGCTCAGTCAAGTACCAAGGACCCAACTTCGCTGGAAGACCCTTTCGGAAAGCCTAGAACGACGAAAGGCGACAGGGACCGAACGGCGACTGAATTACAGCCGGCTGTCGCCTAAGTTACGCCTTCCTGGATCGAAGCCAATGCCACCTTGTGCAGCCAGGACGCAGAGCTCAGGGCTCAGGGCAGGACTTCTCTTGTAGGACTTATGGGTTATTCAGGAGACCCCATCCTGGTTGGGAAAACAAGACCCGTTCGATATATGCTAAGCAGCACGTTCTACGTAGTTCTACGAGACGCCAGTCTCACTCTTCCTCAACCCCTGGACCCACGGACTGCCTGGTTATATCTTCTGATAGTGCACGGGCCGGTAAGACGTCTGGAAGACGTCCTTTTATACGCCTTGGATAACCTCTCGAGGTCGTTATTCTCTGAGTGTAATTTTGAATTTCCATAACTTAAAAACGGTTTGGGATATCGAGACGATCCGCGGCCCATGAGGAGGTATGTGCGGCATGGGTCCCATTCAGAGGCCCCATTGGGTCCCCGGAGCAACTGGCTACGGGATTTACGTACAAAGGGTACCGGAGGAAGTAAGAGAATCGGGTAGGAGAAAAATAAAATGAAATGACGCTGAAGGAGAGAGGTATTATAAGCGGGCGTTCGTACGTGTAAATCCAATATGTCCTTCCCCGCTGTTGTCGTTTTTCTTTTTCTTCTTCCTTCTTTCCCTCCCTCCTTTTTGCTTCTTTAGAACCTCGCGCCACGGGGATCTCGTTATACGCGTCCTGCATCCATTCTCCGTCAGAGGGTTTCGTATTCCAAGGTGTTGGGTTTCTGACCCAAAGTCCTAAGGCCCAAGGCTCCGAAGGCTTTATTCGATGCCTTCTCTCCTTTCTCTCTCTTTCCCTCGGCGTTCCTCGAGAACCACCCCCTTTTGTACTTGGACATTCTCAATGCACTATTTTGACAGGAGGGGACACGGTGGCCTGCGAAATTTCGCCGGCTGTTTCACGCCTTGCGAAAGGAGCGCGTGTACCTTGGGACGGATGCACCTGCCTTTCGGTTCGTAGGGCACCTTTTTCTGAAAACTCTTTAACAGAGTCCCGGCGCATCCCTCTCAGAGTCCAGACAGTCGATCGTAGCAGAAAGTGTCGGTCGAGCAATTAGAGGAGCAATTACGCGTCGCGTTTGATCAGTTTTCAAAGGCCGGATTATTTGTTGCGTCCCGGAAGAGAAAGAGAATCCAGGTTGAGCCATTCAAGAGAAAGGCGCTTAAGCGTGCTGGGGATGAATAGAATCGCGCGCCACGTCGAGCACGGCCGCCTGGGCCAGCATTGTCGTCGACCTCGGCGTCGCTCCTTATCTTTGATCCTGCTTATTCGAGTTGGCACGTACAGCGAGATAGGGGTGAATGGGAAAAAAGAGAGATCTTTGGAAAATGGGTTAAAAGAGACGGGCGTCGGCGGAGAAGCCACGTATAGCAAGTACAGTGCGAAGTAAAAGTTTGAGGTGTTGGTCGGGTGGGTCTAGGTGCACTGACGTAAGGGTGGCGTCGCGCGAATGCCATTTCCCCGAGTGGAGGCTCTCGCGAGCCTCGTGAAAATCGTGTCTGGCAGCAGCAGAAGACGAGGGTCGACACCCACGTTCAAAGGGCGCAGAGCCCTCGGGAACCTGGAGATCAAAGAGTCTTCGACGGCCTCGGTCGCTCCGCAATTTTCTATCCGCGTAATGCAACTGTACCCTACCCTTACCTCTGACTCTCAGGCTCCAGGCTGAAACTAGAAAGAGTTCTTGAGGATCGCAAGCGACGATCCACTCTGACCCAGTGCTTAGGTCTGCTTCGGGGTTCCGGAAGCAAGACCAGCCACTGCGCCTAAAACTGCTGGCTGAAACTCTGCTGCCTTCGGATCCTTTTTATACCTTTAAAGAGTAAACCGGTAGTCGCGTACAGGCCTCTGGGTACATCCTGGCCAAGGTATAAGAAAAGGGCCAAAGGCCCCTGGGATCGTGCACCGTGCACCGGGGCCCCAAGGGTCGTGGCTGTAGGTACGGTATCTGATGCAGAAAACCGGTAAAGGCCGAAAGGAAAGAAAAGGAAATATAAAAGGAAAAAAGGGGATAGACCGAGAGACACGGCGAACCGTGAGTCCACAGTGGCTAACTTCACATTGTCCTCCTATGGAAAAATACACTCGTGCCTCGTTAACCATCCTATCTGATACACGGCTGATCCTGCGGACCTTACCCAGGGCTGGAGCCATCCTGGAGCCATCCTTGCTACTTCATCCATTTGCGCCAGCGGGTTTTCGTTCTAGCCTCCTGAAAGTCTATTCTCCCCCTCTTTTCCTCCTTCCTTCCTCTTTCCTCTTGTCCTTCTCTTCTTCCGTCACGTCCTTATACGACTGCCCCCCCCCCGCTCCGCAACACCTGCCAAACACGTGGTACCAAGGAGCCCTTATTTCCAAGCTTATTTATTCCACTGTCGGAATCTATTGACAGCTGCTCTAAATCAGGAAGAGGATATCCTCCGTAGTGTAAATGTCGACAGACAACGTCCAACTTCATGCAAGGTATTCCGGGACAGCTTCTATAGGTACTTTCAATTTCCCGACGAGCCGAGGGCTCGTTGTTGGCAACATTGAATGGCTGCAGTTACGCAAATTTCACTATGGACCACTCACACTTTCCAGGTAACCTAGATCAGTTCAGTGAACAATGAACAAAGGGCGGGAAACAATGCGCGTCTGTACTCTTGGACTGGGACGTATCTCGTTGTTAATGTTAGACTACTTTCCGGAAATTTCACACTGAATCCTCTCGGCTGACGTGGAGCGCTAAGGAAACAAGAGAAGCAGCGAGACAAAAGATATCGCTGGCTATACATGTATACGTGTATATACGTCCAAGAAACAGCCGTCGTATAATCGAGGAGTGCAGAGAGGCAATCGGCCGAGACTCTTCGAGAGAGACAATAGCCGCCATTTACTAACAATAGGCAGGGCAGGATCAGAAGAATTCAAAGTCTCGGTTCGATTCACGCCATGTGTATTCATTCGATTCCGTTCCGGATGCCGAATGGCGAATATTCGACAAAGTGGAATATGGGAATGTTGCAGTGAAATTTCCTGCGTGCGAAGAGTCACTTCAATTAAGCCTATAAGCGGGAGCGGATATAAGAATTATAGAGATTTCAAAGGACTACCATAGCTGCCGAGCTAACTCGATTTGCATATTATTACTTGTGGGGCTTGCAAAAAAAAGAAAAGAATGCAGATCTGTGAGAAAAAAGTTTAATTTAGTGCATTAAAATTTTTTTTTATTCGCGCACGAATTTAACTAGCAAACTTCGCGATACTTTTGGCGAGAGGGTGGTGGTGCTACGTATGCGATATCGTTGCCAAATTGAATAGCCAAGTAGACAGGGGCGGACGGGCAGGGCAGGATGGGAGTTCAAGGGGGGAAATGGAGAACGCTAATTCGAGTTTGCAATTTCCCTAATTCAATTCGAGGCAGTCACGAGACCCCGGGGAGTCACTATTTGAATTCCCTGACTACGTTTGCCAAAGTAGATTTTTGCGTTGCTCTCTAAATCAAATCCTGTACCTCGTTTTACTTGTTTTTGTACTTTTTACGTTGCAGGCGTGAATACCCTGAAAGTTGGTACGAGTGGTAGCGATGGTCGATTTAAAATTGACTTAAATCATCCAGTTTTTTTACTTCTCTTTCGCACGAGTATCCCTTGCCCTGCAAACGAGTTTATTTAATTTTGATTTATCTGGATATTCGCGAAAGGTATAAACTGGTTAGTTAGTCCAGACGGAAATGAAGAGTATTCATTTTTCAAATTTTACCAGCACTTCGATTCAAGGAGTTTCCATATTCAATGCACAGGCGTGCATGACAGCCTTTTGTTTTTCTATACGTGGGACACTTTTTGATACTTTTATGAGAGTTCTCCTACCCCCCTATTCCCTGGTGGCCGAAAATCTATCCGGAAGTTGGACACACCCCGATATACGAATGAGCTTGTAGCAGATGAAATCCCAGTCTGAGTCATCCAAGTGACGGTTAGCTCGAGTCGCGTGATATCCGACACGAAACCTGTATCCTCCTGGTATTGGCCTGCCATCTTGGCAAACAAGGCCTCGACCCTTCGCATAATAACCGGCAAAGTTATAGCAGCCGCTCACGGAGAGACCTTCCGGCTCTTCCAGATCAATCGAATATTTTCTCTATATTGGAGACAGATGAACACGCGGACGCGCAGTAAGTGCCCACAGAGAGATGGATGAGGTTGCACCTAGTCCAAGAGGAATATTTGTACAGCTTTTGAGTTCGGGATGCTTCAGCCACGTGATTCGTAGATCAGATATTTATTGTTATTAGAATAAACACAGTGACGTTGTCATAACCTTAGAAAATAATGGTCGATGGAATAAAGGATTATGGAGATTTGTCTTCTCTTGTTGCAGGTCTGGAGGCTGAGCTGTTCTATGTCCGAGAGGGTGTGATAAATCAGTATGCGATTAAATTCGTCGTTCCGGTACCCGCGCAGGTGCACAAGCTCCACTTCACCTGGGAGAACCTGGCAGGTCGACCGGTGAGTCTGAGAAGTGGAAGGGAACTGAACGTTCAATGGAATAAAGGAAGTTGAAGTTGAAGCCAAGAGCGAAGCTGCGAGAAATAAACGAAAGATGGCGAAGTGGATTTTACGGAGTGATCGGAAAAGTAATCGGTAACGAGAGTCAGGGGTGACCCGTTCGCGTTTCGCTCGAAGGGTGACTCGTAACGAGTTCACTTCAGGCTTCGCTGCTCCTGAGGATGAAGCCTTTACTCCTGACTGGGCCTTATTCCTTTTCCACGTAGATCCTTACGCCTTGTGGTAGTTACGACTTATGGCGAATACTCATTTGAACCGTTGAGGCGTATCGTCGACCACGCTATTTTTTTCCGGATTTTCTTAACGTTGGCGCAAAACTCCTGAGCAAGTGTCCAGCATCCTGGAACGGGGTCCAGTGAACTTAAAAATAAAGAAAACTACCAGGAAGACGCTTAGAATGCTACATGGTGTTGGATTGACTCGTCGCTGCCACGAGAAAAAAGGGCCCAAGACAAAGTGGTCCAACCGCTTCTTCTTTTGGGTCCTCTCGAGTCCGTGGCGGCTGATAGGGCCCCGAGGAAGAGTGACGGCCGGTCCTGGGACATCCGTCACCCGGTGACAAAACTGAATCTCCCAAATGGTTTTGAATGAGATACCGAACGTCCATCAGAGTTCTATCTGTCTCTCTTATTCTTGTAGCTTGCTTCCTTCTTCTTTTCTTTTTTCTTCACTCTTTGAAATTCGCTCGGCTAGTTTCCGTCCTATGTAAAAATGACCAGTTCATGGAAGCTGGACGCTTGGACCAGAGTCCAGCTCGAGCAGCCTGGATACGTTGTGGTTGTTGCTTTTATTTCGTGGTTGGAAGTATTTGTCGAAGCACCCGAGCGAGGAAAGGGGCCCAGAGGCCCTTTCGAGATCGTAAAGATCCAGTACAGGGACCCCATGCTATCTCCACAGGGTTCTCACTCGGCAGTGGGTACTGTGCTCACTGTGCCAATCGGCCAATCTTGCAAATACGCACGCAACCTTCGGTTGTACGGTTCGCCAATTGGCCATCACTCAGTGGCCTATTATTGTCTGGTTCCAAGATAGATCATTTTCTAGGAATGCAAAGCCATTACGAGGCGATTGATGATCTTACGGTCGAGATTTGAATAGGCCTTGAAATATTTAATAGACGTTGGATTGTTTTTTATCAGAATTTATTATTTTGTTCCAGCTGCCCTACACCATGTCCGTGGACATCAGCAATCCTTCGGCATTGAGCAGCTCCTTGAACATATCCCAAGCTGGTGAAATACCAGTTGGCGGACTTCAGACTTGGGCCCTGGCGCTTCATTGTGGGCCTTACGACGCTGAGGTCGATCTGGCGTTACGCATAAATGTTTCTTTGTCGAGTAGAAACACGACCAGCGTTGATTTCCGACGCAAGAAGATCTGTCTGAAGGACAAGAGCGGCTATCCTGGACCAGAGGAGGTCCTGGTTGCAGCCTCCGGTTCGACATCCGGTGGCCAAGTGTTCTACGCTGCGATCGGTTGTGCGTGCGCCTTCATAGCAGCTATATGCGTCCTCGTGGTAGCTTACTACGTTCGCGATAAGAAAGCCAGAAGACACAGAGATCCTCTGCAGTAAGTTGAAAAATAAATAAATCTCAAAAATTTAAATTCATCGAACTATCAATTATCTTCAGAGAATCCAGAGGACTTAGTTCAGCCTGCAGCGTAGAACGTGGTACAGGCGTTGGTCCGGCGCAGACATTCTTATCTCCGGAAACGCCACCACCACTTTCCGCAGCATCCACGTCCAGCTACAGACGTCTGGATGATCGACCCAGTCGAGAACTTCACGAAAGGATCCAAGAAATCACGGTTCAGAGGTCAGGCTGATTCCATGTACCGATGTCCCACTGCATTCAATTAAGATTAATTGTTGCGCCACTCTCTCTCTCTCTCTCTCGCTCTCTCTCTCTTGACTGGGATTGCCTGAAGTAACCAGTAGCGCAAGTTCTCAAAATAAATCAGGCTACACTCGAGTTAGAGTGCGCAGTCGGTGCGTTTAGGTACGAAATCTAAATTGGTTCCCAGTGTAAAATTAAAGAGGCGCCATGACTAATGCCCGACCAGTTCACTACACGGAATTTCTATTTCACTATTGACTAGCAGTTGACAGGAGCTAATCGAACCGGCCTGGGTTTCCTTTATTTTTAGATGCAGGGTGCGCCTACTGAGCATCGAGATGGAGGGTACATTCGGTAAGGTATACAGGGGTAGTTATCACGAAGAGGGTGCCACGTCGTCAACGGACGTCCTGGTGAAAACGGCAGCCGAACACGCATCCCAGTCGCAGGTTTGTCATATCTCAATCTGAACACTTGATTATTCTGGTTTCACTGGAACAATCTGTTAATCATCCCCCTCTTGACGTCCTCCAGGTCGCCCTTCTACTCAGGGAAGGTCTGGCTCTTTATGGCCTGAGCCATCCTGCTCTACTTCCGGTCCTCGGTGTCTCCATAGAGGACAGGGGTGCTCCCTTCCTCCTCTATCCCCACACCGGCTACAGGAACATGAAGAGGTTCTTGCTGAGGTGCAAGTTGAGCAGCGAAAGACCACCGAGGGCACTCACTACCCAGGAGGTCGTCGAGATGGCTCTTCAGGCTGCCAAAGGGGTCCAGTATCTTCACCGGAAGCGACTCGTTCACAGGGATCTTGCCGCCAGAAATTGCGTGTAAGTGTTTTGTATTGAGATGGACCAACTTTGTATATCAACACGTGCAATACTTTATGACTCTGTTATCATACTTTAGAGTGGACGATGATCTTCGAGTTCAGATAACAGATAATGCTCTGGCCAGGGACTTATTCCCACAGGACTACCATTGCCTTGGTGATAACGAGAATCGACCAATAAAATGGCTGGCCATCGAGAGTATCGTTAATAAAACATTCACTACAGCATCCGACGTGGTGAGTACCAGTTCAATGGAATATTCATCTGTCGAGATTTACCTAGACTAACAGTTGCTGTCGTTTCTTTGCCATTACAGTGGGCATTCGGTGTCTTATTATGGGAACTGACAACCCTGGCGCAGCAACCCTACGTCGAGGTGGATCCTTTCGAAATGGCATCCTACTTGAGGGATGGATACAGATTGGCTCAGCCCATCAACTGTCCTGATGAACTATTCGCCGTTATGGCGTACTGCTGGGCTATGTCCGCCGATGAGAGGCCGACTTTCAGTCAGCTTATAGTCTGCCTACAGGAGTTTCATACTCAACTCACGAGATACGTTTGAATGCATCCTGATAATCTTTATATAAGAATTCGAAGATGAGACGAGATACAAAGTGTACAGAAGACGCGTGAGATGCTGCGCGGACACGTTCCTTACCTTTGCCTACTTTGTAAATAGATTTAGACTGATAACAGTTAATCGCTTGGTCTACGGGTCAATGGAGAATATACACGGGCACGTAAACTTCCTTTGGAAGAATCAAAAGAACATGGACGTATTAAAATAAATGATATAGCAGGCTTCACTGCCAGTTTCACGATCCGAGAGTTCAATTAGGATCGAGAGATTTAAACGTTGTGATACGTATTTCGCTTGCCAGGTAATTTTTCAATGTGCCAACTTTTGTATTTTTGTATATACTTATATATAGATATATATAAATATTATAAGTGCGATACAGGTACACAGAAGAATTTGTATATAGGAAGAAGATATATTGTGTCGCATCCACATGTACAAAATTACATAAAATAAATTTATTACCTCATAACAATAATAATTGTATACTTCATTACCGATACGTCTCAATCCTTTATTTTGGAGCCAGAGGGTACGTGATATTCTTTCTCCATGCATTCTCAGCTGTTACCCGACTATTCTGGTCCAGCAACGATCCGTCTCCCGTGAGAATGCCATAAAAAAGGATGCATCACGAGCAAGTATAAGGTGTCGCATAAAAAAAAAAGGATTTGACTCTTCTCAGAAATCATTCATCAGAAGCGCAAGTCTGTCTCCTGCTAGACGACTCTTGTAATTCGTGGAGTGTCCGGAGGGTCTTGTGACACAAAATTAATGGGAGTTTCCAGTCTGACGTCTTGTTTAAAATGACAAACGACTCGCGCATCTTCACGAATCGGATATCGCGCGATTCACGAGATGAAAATGGCCCAAGGGTATCTCTCAATGAGGGTCGAGATTATTTTGAAGCAAATATGCTACCCGGCATTAATATAATAAAACAGCCTGTCAGAAACGTCTATTAATAATCGACGTGTGTCCGTTTCCATATTTTATGCGAAAAATTCTTTCTAAACGCCACGTGACGGCGGAAAGATCTATTTCGTCTTTCGCAGTGACTATCAGACACAAAACATACCGGGTGAATGAACATTCCCCTAGGGTGATTATTCACGGTAGATTAACCACACCGGTCCTCTCTTTACACAAATGTACATACAGTGCCTATCCGTCAAAAATGGCGGGCAATGCTGGCTTATCTACTTGGGAACAGGAAGCAATTATTCCGAACGTGTGAAAATCACGCGAGTCGCGTTACAACGTGAGTCACCCAGTAGAGGGTTCAATAGCGCGAAACGTGCTTTCGTGAGAGACCACCTCGTGAAGTACTCGAGACTCTTCGATATCGTGAAATACTTTTTCGGCACGTTCCTTTCCATCGGGACGGTCACGCTCGACTGGAGCCCTGTACGGACGACTGTCCATTAAGTATTTACGTAATATCCTGTACTTAGGAGCGTTACGTAATATCTCAGGTGTCATTAATAATTACACGTTTAGACAACAAGCCGTTCCGCCGCGAACTGAATAAAAGGAAAATTAAGAGCTCCTTCATCTCGCAATAAAAGTTGGACGCTCGTTAGCTGTACGGCAGTCGAATATCTTTTGGAAAATCTGTAGGATCCAAATGCTCGTCTGAATGGAACGGGGTGAGCGAGGGGTGAATCGATTGCAGTATAGTGCGTCAAAAAAAAAAAAAAATCGTGGGATTTTTAATGAATTTCAATGAAGTGTACGAAAAGGGATAACCCTCCCTTC